TGTGCTGTTGCTGAAAGTCTCCATTGCCCTTAAGTAGATTAAAAAAACATTAACTGATGTAATTTTGAATAATTACCATAGAAACTTGTAAAGTGATAATTTCTTGTGCTTTCACGACCTTCATCAGTCATTGGAACATAAAAATCTTGTTGCAGTTTTTGGGGAGCTCCACTTATAAACTTCTGCTATCCTCCCCTCTTTGCATGCTGCTGCACTTGTCTTTTGATAGTTGACTTTGCAAGTCATGCCCTGGTGCTTGGCAGGTATGGTAGTTGCCTACAGCACACATGTGTAGTTGAAATCATAGAAGGGCATCTTGTATACCAGATTTGTGGGATTTCATGTTTCAGAGGAGGGTAGATTTAAGAGATATTACTTTTAAATCGCACTGCTAGTGGCCAACAGCTGTTTCTGCAAAAGGTTAAAAGAGGCTTACAAAGTATCCCATTCATCCCAATGAGCTGGGCTATAATTTAAAAAGCATGACCTTTAAAAAAAATAAATCTTTAATAAACAATAAGCATCCTCTCATCCCCGGCGGGTGTTTTGCCAGACTCCACCCATTCTGTGTGACATTTGGGAGTTGTTATCTGAATTTTTCCACTGCACTACTGTCAGCATCCTTCAGCACCGAGTGAAGCTGTTACTTATCCAACAATCAGCAAATGTCTAAATTAAAAACGTTGCAGAACAAAATGATCTGACTCAAAGAAGTGAAGTCATTGTTAACACACATGCAAGCAGATTCCAAGCCACACAGAGAAGAGGAAAGATTTGAACAGGAAGAAGGTTAAAACTGATTAAAACTTAACAAAAATAACAATATCAAAAGTTTGATAATTACAGCAATTACGATGTAATTTTGACAAAAAAGTCACAGTGAAACATTTTCCTCATCGAGTAACTCTAGAAACTTGCTAGAATTTTCTCCCTTTACTGGCTTTTCAGTGTAGCAGGCTGACATGATTATTTAAAAAGAGGTGTGTTGCCATCCATGTGCTGACAGCCATCTCTTTACTCGTGTCAGCCAAAATTTGACTCATAAAATCTTTTTTTAATGCAGCAGCATGAGGTTTGTTTTTGCAGCTATAAAAACACAAAGTGAGCAATGAGTTAGAAATTAACCTTCAAATCTCTTTCATGACAGCTACATTTTTATTATTTGAACATCTGGGGGGAAATGTGTTTTTTAAATTGTCTCGGACTCAGCGGTGTAGGCTATGGTTAGCTTAGCGAAGCATAAATACTTGAGTCAAAGGGGGGAACTTTGTCCAATGGTGTCCAGGGACACAAAAATACACCCAAAGCAGCAGCAGCTAATGGTCCACAGGATTCACGAGTTTAGTGTTTTGGAAATGGCGTGAGGGAAGTCCAGTTCTGCCGTAAGATTTTTGATAAACCAAAGTACAACTGAACAAAGTTATGAATGACCTAGCAGACTTTTTTTCAGACCGCTGAAGATGATCAACCACATAAATGAAACACAAAAAGCTAACCGTCTTATGACTTTAACTGTCTGCAGGTAAGTTAGAAGCATTTACAAGTTGGCTATTTACTATGACCTCAACCAATAGTAGCAAGAGGATTTTTTTGTATTGTGTAGAAATGATTGATAAGACAACAAAGTCAAGGTGTGTGTTAGTGTAGTTCTGCAGTGTCTTATTCTAGATGTTGGATATGGACTGTCAAGAACTGCAATCTGCAGAAGGACTGATCACATGACATGGAGGCTATTTCACACAGATATGAATATAGGTCTGTTTTGTCATGTCCTTGAGCATAAAATGGTTCACAGTTACTGAATGTAACCAGTGTTACAATGTGTGATGGCCAAACCCATCTCCACACTCTAAAGTTGGTAACTCTTGTGTATTTTCATTTCTTCATTTGAACACAATAACACATTTTAGTTTCCAGTAAGTTCATTGATTGGTTTGGATACATTTGTTCTATTTGTAAGCGCGCACATATAGTTTACTTATTCATACCAGTTCATTGCTTTGTTTGATTTTTAACTAACCTTTGTTTCTTTTACTTCTTACCTGCCATG